TTTTACTCTGTTGAATTTATTAGAGAGGCAGGGGTGCAGTCCTGGGGTAACAGCTGTTGGGTAGCCCAATGTTATATTCCCCCAAGCTCAGCACCTCTAGTCCAAAATTAAGGAAACCAGAATCATAGGTAGGATTTCATACAGGAGAAGCAAAACAGTGTCTCTGAGCAAGGTATTTCTGAACGGAAGCTACTTGCAGTGACCGTCCCCACTCAGAAAGCGCAGTGTTACCTGCAGTATGGTGTCGGTGTGGTTATCAGTTGCCTCCCTTGTGATAACACAGACAAGAAACTGTACCTTCTGCTGCTGTTAGCGTCTGCCAGGGGTTGAGAAACTTGTCAAGTGATAGTTGGTGGGTAGAGTAAAACCTGCTTTTTTTTATCCGGTGATGTTGATTTGGCTCAGATGATGAGCACATCCCACAGCACCCCTGGGCTCATGTCTGGGCCCTTTTGCCCTTCCAGCTAACAAAACCGTGGAGATGACTGAGTTTTACTTTGGAGGTTTGAACTTATATTTAATTTCCCCTGTGCATCTGAAAGGTCCTGCTTAAGAGCTGTGTGACACAGGAATTTCTGAATCTGCCAGAAAGACATTAGAAGAATCAATGAGACAAGATCGCGGCTTGTGGGCCTGGACACCTCATGGCAAGGGACAGGTGACGCAGTCTTGTGCTCCTGGTTGTGCCGGGTGTCACCCTGTGGTGTGAAATGCATATTTGGTCCAGGGAACAGAGACCTGCGCAGCTGAAGCATCCAACACCAGTGGAATTTGCAGAACTCTTTTGCCCAGGAGAGAAACGATTAATATTTTTTATTAACGTTTTTGTTGAGAGGATGAGAACACATGGCATTGGGAAGGAATTCTTAAGAGGAGTTATACAAACTCTGAGGCTTCCAGGTGTAAACCAAGCTCTAAATTATAGACTTCAGAAAGAAATGTCCTGACATACTTTCCTGTGTGTTGTATATTCCTTGTGACTAACTCTAATCGCCACTTCGTAGACAGGCTGCAGATCAAAACTGGAGCGGATCCCGTAGGACACTACTGGAGGGTGCAGAGTGGGAAATGACGTCTCTTCCCACCCAGCCCTGTTTCTTGCCATGTATCTGATGTGTTTCTGTGGTAACGCTGTGACGCTCAAGCGTCCTGAACTTCCCGCTTAGTTGCATATTTTGTATTACCAGGGGGAAATTGGTTGGTTTGGTCAGTGTGAATCACTGGTGCTGGGTCCGTCTGCCTGACTGGCTGTATCTGGGGACACCTGCCTCAAGGCATGTGTATCGTCTCCAGTTCTGTCTCTGGATGAAGTTGGATGGTCCCACAGCCAGAAGCTGGGTTTCAGGACATTCCGGGTCTCACACATAAAAGCAGCAAATACATCCAATTACCTCCCTTGCAGTACAACCATACCGACATAGCGTAGATGGAGGACCCCGAGCGGTGGTGGGAGCAGATTGCACTCAAAGGGAGAGAGCTCTGGGGTGGCTGCAGGTGAGGAGAGGGTCTGCTGGTGAAGAGGTCACCCCACACCGAGGCTTCTGTGCCAAGACCTAAGGTGCAAGACCCCAACTCCGTAACCTGGGGAATTCTGGGAAGCACAAAGTATGGATGAGTTCCCCGAGACATTTACACCTACGTTAGGTGGGAGGAAATACAGAGGAGAGGGATGCGACTTCAGCACAGACCCAATCCTTGATTCTATCTGCAAACCCCTTTTGTCTGAAAAATAGACAGGACTCGTGCAGTTTCTGGTGAGCATTTTATGTGACGGCCAAGGCCAACACACAGGCTCATCTCGTGCAGACGGCAGTGCAGCCTTGGTTGGGCGCTTCTGCTTTCAGCTGCCGTCGCTTTTTCTCCCTGGCAGCATATCTGCTTATCCTTGTAAAGTTTGTGGAGACTGTGGGCAGGTCTTCATCTCCCATCTTCCCCTTTCAGCCGGGTTCTTGTGTCAGCCCTCAAGATAGAAGCTCAGATTTAAAATTTAGCCTCAGAAGAGAAAGGATCTTACCTCATGTTGGCCCCAGGCTGCTGGAAAAAGCAGGTTTTCGGTGCATGCTTGTCTCCCGGAGTTTTGATGATCTCCAGCTGTTTTTGAGCACCTCTGAGGACTTTGCTTGGTTTGAGATCTTACAGCCTCATCTCCTGGTGAGAACAGATCAGCTGCAGACCCCTGACACCTCTTACACACTTGGTTGCAGCTTTAAAACTGTTACTTCCAGGGAAAGCCAGAGTTTTCCCTCTGATGTAATGACAAGGATCCGTTTTTCTCCCTGGTGCAACACTCTTCACGTTTGCTTACACCGAGGAGTAAGATCCGGTCACGAACACTGCTTGAAATACTTTGAATGTCTTGCAGCTCAAGAAGATAAATTACTGACATGGCCCATCGCTTACGCTTAGATTACTTTGACCAGCTGTGCTTTATGCACCTTTTCATGAGCTATGTACAGGCTGTGCTTTTACTTTATGTATAATGCAAATGAGGGGATACACTAGCTAGAAAAAATGAGAGTTTATATTGGCTGTTTGTAAGGGTGACATTTCCTTAAAAGACTTTTTTTTTCCCACCCTGCACATCACAGAGATTTTAAATCCTCATTGCCTTCTGAAAACACAACTCTGGAAGGACAAAGGGTGATATATTCTTAACGAGTGCATAAAGTATAGTAGTTTTAAAGACAATAAATGCAAGGTCGCATTAGGGCAAACCAGTTAATTACTCACTTCATTATTGTCAAGGTTAATACAGTATTTGAGTGCAGACGCTGTTTTTCATCTCCTTTTGGAAACAAGGCAAGACAGCATTTCTTACAGACAGATCCATTATAGCTTATCACCGGAGGACAGACTGCTGCAGAAACACCATGAAGGATGTCTGCTGTCACCGGGCTCTGGAGAAAGCGCCAAACCTGTCCGGAGAGCGATGGAAATGAAATGAGAGCCGCAGCTTCAGAGGAACGCGCTTTGATTCACAGAGATTGCGCCCCATTGATTTTAATGTGTGACGGGAACAGTAGCGTAAAATTCCTTCATCTGTTGTAACATTGATCCCTCCTGAATTGCACAAGGCGTTGAGAAACATCCTTTAATAAACATGGGGTATCGACTGGACGAAATCCCATCTTTCCATGGTGAACCCAGTGAAAGCTGCACCTGCGGTGGGGCTTCATCGCTGGTTTTCATGCACACCAGGGTGTTGTACAGATTTCCATGAGATGGTCTCCGTAGACAGAAACAAAAGGCCTCATAAATCTTAACCTATCCCCCTTTGTGAAAAACACTTTGCTTTTAACTGTCTACTTGCCCTGCAACAATTTTGAAAACGCCCTAAGTTTAAAAAATTGGAGACCAGTAAGTGGTTAAAAACAATCAGGAAAAAGATCATGTAGATATAGAACATATATAAAAAGAAAATTCCCTCATATGGAATCACAACTTGTTTTTTTCAGTTTATAAAGCCTTTAAAACTGCAAAATCTTGTCTAGTTCCTATGAAGCTCATTACCAGGATAATCGTGTTTATATCACTTGTGAGGCAGCCTCTTTCTGCTACATTTTCTTTCAAGGTTTTTGTTTTGCTATTTAAGTTAGAGCTAGAATTTCCCATCTTTTGTGATTCCCGCTGTTGTATTTCAGTCCTGGGAGGTTTTCCCTCTGCTCGCCAATAAAACACGCAGCCTGGTGACGCAGGAACCAAACATTCCCAAACCGAGGCACCCCCCCAGCACCAATTAGGTCGTTCCACTAAGGTCACACCTTTGAACCTGGGTGCTTGTGGCCTTGGTGCCAACATGAGGCTCTCGGGTTTGGGAATTTGGCAGTTTTTGATCTCTGGCTTCTTCCTGCAAATACTGCGCTTGCCAGAAAAGCTGTGGGTGCTGGCAAGCCCCTGGCACATATTTTATCTGTAGCAAATGACTTCAGACAGGTTAACGTGGCACAACATGTGTTTTGTTCTTTTTAACATCTTCCTTGATTTTATTTTTTAGTTTTCGATGCTTTGTGGGCATCCTTACAGAGAAATTACTCTTATTACTCTTACAGAATGACACTTGCTTTGGGATATTAATTTGGTTTCAAACCTAGCAAATTGTTCTGCGTACCAGGGAGACACCCACTGTATTTCAGATTTGCGTACTAACATCTTAAGTTCTATTCAGACAGCAAAATACTTGACAATACAGTGTATTTTGCAGGGTCTGGATGACACACTTTCTAAATTTTCTGCGCTATGGACTGTTATTTTAATAGGAAAAATGCTACATATTTCCTTGGAAAAAAATCAGGCTCACATAGGCTGTCTGATTCAGTCTGAGGGGCATCTCACCAAGAGGTGTATCTTTTCACGAAAGAGAAGTGCTAAATTTAAAACAAAGCCAAATCAAATATTGTTGTTAATAGTGAATAATTATAATAATGGATATTAGTAATTGTTACTAATAGTAATAAAGCACTGACTACTCTGTAGAAAATGTGCCTCTGGAATAGGTTAGTTTTATCTTCCTTTTGCGCTGGCCCTTTTAATTTACTCGTAGAGAGGAGCCTGAAGCAAATAGGGATTACAGCGATCGGCCTCGCAAGTCAGTGTTTGCCGGTGGTCATCCTCAAAGTGCTGGGAGAAGAAAAAAGAAGAAGGATTTAGTTCTTAATCCCCTTAACTTCATTGGCTGGGATGAGACAGCACTGAGGTGTCACCGAGACTGCTTCATCAGACTGGGGCTTTGGTGGCAAATGCTTTTTTTGGAAAATCAGAGTTTCCTACAAGACCATTTTATTAGCAGTACTTCCTTTTAAATCCTCTTAACCAAAAAGGTGTCTCTCAAGCGTGCACCTCTCTGTGGAAAATTCCTCAACTGCAGGGGTTTGTCAGTGATGAATTCCCTAACACAGAAACCCTCAATTGCATTCTTCTAAATCTTCCTTCTGAAGGCATCTAAAAATCCTGCTTCCAGGGAGCATCTGCTTGGAGGAGCTGAGGGAAAACTCCTCTTGCCGATGACGGAAGCGGCTGCTCTGCTCTTGGGTGCTGAGGTCCTCAGTGCAGGCACAACACAGGTCACTCCGGGAGAGCTCTCCTTTGTGAAGGCCAGTCCTGTGGAGGATATTAAATTGGCATTTCTCTCCGTGGTATGCATTTGCACAGGGGAGCGGAGTGACAGCTGAGTATTTCAATCTTGTTTTCAATTATAAGCATTTCATTGTTGAATGTTGCTGCTTTATTATGTGATAATTAAATGTGAATGATCGCGCAGTCATCCTGCCAGAGAGGCTGTAGCCGAATGAAACCAATTCCTCTCATCTTGCTGAATGGCTTTGGAAGCGAACGGAGTGATCTATTTGCTGTCCCTTATTTTTGCTGTTCTATTGTTTCAGTATCACTAGCTTCGAAATAGCAAACTAGGCAAGTAATTACAGACATAAATCAGAGCAGGGATCAGCATGAGGTCAGGACTGCTTTGCTTGTAGCCTGACTTTCCTCAGCTGCCTTTTGCTGAATAACAGAGAAATACATTTTGTGAAAAAGTGATTTTATTACTGACGAAATGCGTATTTTGACAAAATTTGAACTGCTGCATGCTTCCAAGCAGGGGTTGAGCAGCCTCACCATGCCCGGAGTGGAGCTTCCTCTGTTGGCATTGCAAGGGATGAAGGGCCAGCAGCCAGGGTGGACACCACCACAGTCAGGACGCCACCACAGCCCTATCTCATGGCTGGTGTCCGATACACCACGGTCGGCATCTGTTATGTCACAATCGACGTCCAGTATGTCGCGATCGGCGTGCAACACACTCAGGCTACAGCTCACAGAGGGACGTCAGCCCGGGGTGACAACAATGACTCTGTTTAAAAACCCGGCAAGTTAAAGAAGATACGGCCATAGATATTTAGCTGAAGCGAATTGGCAAAGCAAATGTGTTTTCTGTAGAGCCACGCTGATTTATGACCCTGGCCTGTACGTTTATTCTTGGGACGTGTTTATAAATGTGAAGCAGGGCTCAATGGGATCACCTGCTGCAAAACGGATGCAGCCACGTGTTGCAGTCTTTGGATAGTACTGGCTAAAAATAGTGAGTCTTTCCCGAAGGAGAGCTATAGCCAAGCACTGCTCAGGAGCACCAGTGTTTGTGCAGAAAGGAGTAGGGATGGGCGGGGGCTTGTGGGCCATCGGTGGGAGCACGTTCATGTCTGTGGTGCTCCTATGGCTGAGGGATCTGTAGAGGACTTTGCAATATCAGGACACAAACAGGGCCACCGCTGCCAACACCACGTGGCATCCGGGATGTGGATGGCCCAGAAAGCCCTGGTTGCACCCAGTGGTTTGGTGGGTGCTGTGTCTTGTAAGAAGGAGATGTAGTGAAGTATTTTCCCCTCTTCCCCAAGTGTCTGTTAGGCTAAGTTAACTAAGAGGCAATCCCCAGTGGTAATTCTGCTACCCAGGAGCATGCTGTTTCGTGGGGGGGGGGGAAAGCAAACTTGGTGCCTGCTAAACTACATGCTGCTTTTGGTTCCAGTAGTTTGTTAAAATAACATGTAGGAGTGACCACTGAGTGATTTTTGTTTAGCTGTAAATCACATTCAGACCACCAGTGTGACCTGATGTAGACAACTGAATAATAACCAAAAAAAAAAAAAAGTAGTGGCTATGTGTATTTCTGGGTGAACATAAACTTCTTTTCCTTTTTGGTGTTTTTTCTGTCAGATATTAAAGAAAAATCAGTATTTAATCAAAGCAATTTTTTATTCCCAGACTATTGTTAGAGGGAATAAACCTCGAAAAGATACTTCAATCAATGGCCTGCTGGAAGAGTTTGACAATATCTCGGTGACACGATCCAATTCCCTGCGGAAGGAAAGTCCTCCCACCCACCACCAAGGAAACGCGAACCATGTGCCCAGGCACCAGGAGGAAAATGGTTACATCACGTACTCGCAGTACTCCAGTGAGTCAGACACTACGACAGACTATGTCGTGGAAAAATATCGAGACAAGACTCTGTATGGGGAAGAGTTAGACAGGTACTACAAAGGGAGCTATGCTGCCAAGCAGAACGGGCACATGATGAAGGTGACTTCCCGGGACATCTATTATTCAGAAGTGGTGCCCCTGCAGTCAGACCTCTCCAGGTTCCTCCCAGATTACCACGCACACCTGGAGGCAAAGCCCAAACCGCTGGAATACGGCGGCCTAAAGCTGGAGTATCAGCGGATCCCCAGTGGATCTTCCTTGGACTATAGAGATCCCTTCCCCTACGCCCCATCCCGAGCGTCGGTGCAGAGCGAGTGCCCCAAGGAGAGGCTGGAGTACAGTGACAGCGACTGGGGACATGGCCTGGGCAAGGACGACTACGACAAGCGGCCAAAGTCATCCTACGTGGACCCAGCGAGCCCTCAGCCTGCGATGAGGCAGAGGTCCAGGTCAGGCTCCGGTCTGCAGGAACCGGCCATGCCCTACGGAGCGAGCGCTTTTAAAGCACACCAGCAGGGACATTCTTACAGCTCCTACACCTACCCCCGCTTGTCCGAAACTGCAGCAGGCATCCCCAAGGTAACGTGACCTCCTTGGTGGCGTTGCTGCCGGGGCAGGGATCAACCTCTCCAGAAGGAGAGTGTAAAAAATTAAGCGCGTGCAAAAAATTCAGGGCAAGGAGCGATGCTCAGAAGTCACTGCTGAGTGTGGCCAGCAGCATCCCCAGAAGCTGGGTGGCTGCTGCTTGGTGGGTGTGAAAACCCTCCCACGTTACTTGAGTGTCTGAAAATGGATGTCGAGGACTGGTGGGTTTAAGATATTTGTGAAAAAGCGGATTTGGAGTTGCCCGGCTTGCAGGGGTTTACTTAGGATTCCCAATAACCCCAAGTTCTCCAGCAGTTTTTGTAGCACCCGTGCAGATCTCAGCAGGAGTGAGAAGCTGATCTGATCTGTATATCAGATATGTTCATATTTGAATTGTTACTGTGCAAGGCTGCAACTTCAGTGATTTAATGTTTCTATGATTCTGTATTGTATTCGTGCTATATTTGCGTTACAAGTTTTATTAGCCCTTTGCTGCTAATGAGAGTAGGGGCTTGCCCCTCTCCACTTTGTTTTTAAATGGTGAAATTAAATCAAAGCATCTTATCTCACTCAAGACAATGTAGATGCAGTTAAAAAAATCCACCTAAAGTGCAAAAAACCATTTCAGTGATATCTACAAGCAGCTCCTCTGCACAGATTTGTGGCCTGCTCTGCCGTTCCTCAGTCACATGAGGAGTATTACCCATACAAGCTGTCCTACCCTACTTGCAGCAGTTTGCTGTAACTACCTGTTCAGTTAAGAGATTCATGCTTTTCTTACATATCTAGTCCCATAACTATGGTGATGACCTGCTTAAACTTCTAATATTCTGCAAAAGATGTTTTTTCTTCAGTGTAGATTGCACTGAACATTGAGTTCCCCTAGCAACGAACGCCGAGCTGGTAGCTCATTTTTCCAGGGTCAGAACGGTCTTGGGTTGCTGTGACTTACCAAATGTCCTGAGGCCGGTAACTCGTTGCGTGGTGAGATCCGCTCCACCGCTTAAGGAGGATCTGAACGGTGTGAGCGGCTCAGTGTGCTGTGGATGTGGTCCTGTCCAGCTGCAGACCCAGAAGAAGTCCCAAATCTCTGCAGATCTGGGCCAGAGGCATACCTGGGTGTTGCTTGCTCAAGTTCTGGTGTATTTGCTGATCCTGGGGTGCCCCACGGTAAAGGGAGAGTGATGCATTTGTATTTCGCATTGCATTAAAGCACAGAGACAGCTTTTAAAGGTTGAGGTTAGGTCACAGAGGGGTAGAAAAGTTACCAGGTCTCTTTGGATGCCTTTCCTGAGCTCAGGGTGTGGTGGGAGGGATGCCTGTGGGTAGTTCCTGTGCGCCAGTGTGGCATTAAATAGAGGTTCTGGAAGCTGTGAGGAACGGCTGGAAGGGGGTATCTGCCATTTCCTTCTTTTAAAGCAGTCATTTTGTCAGAGTTCAGAAAGGAGAAGGACAAATCCAATAGTTGATAGACTCTCTTGTGCCCGCTGCTGCTAATTTTACAGCATTGAGTAGGGCAGAAGGCAGAGGTGTATTTTACGAGACTCAAAGCACTCTAGACAGTTTGAAAAATATCCCATTAAAATGCAGTAACAACTTCTATTAAAAAAAAAAGAAGAAAAAAAGATGCCTCTGTGCAAGATTCATTGTGAGCTGTTCCTCTCCTCAGAGCATCAAAAACACTCCTACAACCTTGGTGTATTGAAACTTGATGATTCACTGTTAAATGCAGCAGTTTCAATTCCTAAACCCGTCCAGAGCTCCTGCAATTGAACAGTGGTCCCTTGTCTTGGATGATTGCTAAAGAATCATCTTTTCAAGGAGGCATTAGTAAGATAATGGTTCATCAGATGGGCTTACTACATGAGAATCAGGTCTCAGATCAGATATTTTACAAGTGAGATTGGCTTTAAAGTGTAATTAAAAGGGGAGAAAAAGTAAGCAGTGAAAAAATCTGCAGGCACAAATGTATGGCTTCAAGATGCATTTAACAAAGATGTTCATTTTGGCTTGTAAATGCAGAGAGCAGGCTTACTTCAGTATTAGGTGCAGGTGATAGATGTCAGATAAGTCGAATGTCTGCCGTTTTCTCATCAGTGATTTCAGAGGCATTACATCAGGAAACTTCCACTGCGCTCGGCTTGGCCCCTTCTGTGCCGTGGGACCACAGAGGCTTTGGTTCCCTTCCGTCCCCTCCTGTGTTATCCACCAGCTCTTCTCTCCATGCAGACTCACTCCAGTGTCACTTGCGTGGGGTGGCAGCGTCTGCTGTGTGACCCTTCAGACACCGAGAGTACGTCCCACTTTGCTCAGTAGAGTCTCCTCAGTATTGTCACACGATATCAACCTTGTCTGGCCAAATCTGCTTATTTTTGAACACTGTACCACATGTTTTCTTTTTACTCTCGTTTTCATCACTCTTTGCACCAGATCCTATTATTTCAAAGTTCCTTTTGCTCTCGCTTTTTGGTAGCAGCTCTCCATGACCCTCCCCTGTCCCTTCTCCAAGGCGCTGCTCTCCCCTTTGCCACCCTGTAGTGCTGTAACATAGTGGGGGTCTCTCTCTCTGATCTGACCACTGCTCAGCACTTTCCTGCCGTGTGCTTTGCAGGCGCTCTGTGCTGGGGAGACTTTTCCAGCCTGGTGAGGGCAGAGCCAAGCCTTTACTATCAGAAACCTTCTCCTTTTTTCCCCATTTTCTCACTCAAACAATGCCCTTTGCACAAGCACTGCCTGTCACCTCCTTGCTTGGAACAGGGAGTCTTGGAGATTTCCACGGGCAAAGCACCAGAGAGTGACCTTCCCCCTTGCAACCTCCGTGTGACTTCCAGAGCATTCCTTCCACGCCTTCCCCTTCAGCAAACCAAAACCTCATCAAACAGAAATCCCTTTCCCGTTGACTGAAAGGGGAGCCCGTCTCCCCGGAAAGAATGCTGGCTCGGCCGCAGGGATGCAGCTGCCGTCTCTGCCGCAGTCCCACCGCGGAGCGTGCAGGGACCCGCGCTCGACTGCCCGAGCATCCTGCCTTGTGGGGACCCTGCCCTTTCCCAGCAAGGCAGGTGCTTCCTCCACTTGCAATGGGAAACTGAAACGAGTTGAAACACTGTGCAACATCAACCTTTTAACGACAAAAAGACCCAGCGTGGCCACGTGTGGGTGCGGGTAATGCCGCGAGCTGGTGAAGCGACCCAGGCAGCAGCAGCAGCAGGAGCAATGTGAGGTTATCTATCGCCTTACACCGCGGCACGGTAATGGATGTCGTGTCAGAGCTTCGGCTGCTCCTTTGACGTCATCTGGAATGAGCAGAGGACTGATTTCTTCTTTCCTTTGCACCATCTAAAGATTTTCCTTTCAGTAGGTAACAGCATTCGGTAGCACAAATAGAAGTAGTAGTGGGATAGAGTGCGTTCAATTTTGCCCTGATGAGAAGAACTGCGTCAGGACGCAGCCTCGGAGGAGAGGTTCAGCTGATTTACTCATTATAGCTGCCAATTCTATGTGAGATTTCATGGGGTTCAAGATGTGAATGGGTTTACGTTGTGTTGCCTCAGAAAGCTTTCAAAAATTCTTGGCAAGCACATAGAACCCCTGAATTTTCATTTTGAAATTTCTCTGTGGAATTTACTTTTGCCTATCTGTTAAGCTTAGGACATGCTCAGAAATATCAAGCATGGTTGAAGCCTCAAATAATTCATTAGTGTGGATTTATCCAGCTTGAATTTCTAGACAAGACTTTCCCCATCTCGATAGTCAAAAGAAAATGCTGTATTTACAGCCAAAGCAGTAATTTATGTGTCCCTACATAGGCAGATATATAGGACAGGGCTCGATTGAGTTCCCCTCCTCCACCAAACCATCTGAGCATTTTCCCCTGTTAATTAGTTTGGCAGATATAGTGTCCTTCATGGAATTCATCATATCTCTGACCCTCTTGTAGTTTACGGCTACCCCTGCCTGACAGAGTAAGTGAAATTATGGCTGTAATCGTGTGGCTCTTTTGCTTAAACAAACCCAACAACCTGGGAGGTGGCTGCACAGCGCTGGTACGTGCTCACTGGATGCTCTGTATGGCTGGCGGCCGCCAGCATGCGAGTCTCGGACAGAAACAAACTCCAGCTTCACATTTCCAAGGGAAATCTCTGAGCAGCCCCTCTGGAGAGGCAATCCCTTCTTCCCTTCTAAACCTCGCAGGAAATGAAAAGACAGGCATGCCTGGCTCCTGCGTGAGGTAGGAAAGAGCTGATAGAATATTGTACTTGGAGGCTTTTTCTCCCGGCACTGAGGCGACTCCGGCTAGAAGCTCCTCCTCACTGTGCAGCAGCCTACAGTGATAAATTGATGCTGCGGCAGATTTTTTCCTTCTTTCCTTTTTTTTTTTTTTTTTTTTTGCAGTCTTAGCATAAAATGGTCAAATGATGTTCCACCGCAGAATTCAATTTCACAGTTCAGTTGGGTCCTTGATTACACTGCCAAATTCAGATTAATGTGCATTTAACTAACATGGATCAGGGACTCCTGGCCGGCAGCCAGCTGTAATAGTAGCAACCGTGAGCTGTGTAGAGTTTGCTGCTCTGTCCGCCCCTGTGCACTGCCACCGAAATTGATTGATTAAATGAACTCATTGCCATAATTATTTGTAATTGTGCTACATCATAAGCCTGTGTCAAACCACCCCCCTGCCCTGAGATGCTCTGCACGTCATCAGGAGTCACATGTGTTGTGTTGTAAATGTGGAGATGGGGGAAAAAGGCATTTTTGTTTCAGCTGGGGGGATTTGTCTTAGATGCTTTTCTTTTCAGTTTGGATAGAAGCAAACTGTTATGTTTGCGCATGTGAAGGGCTCATTTGCTTTCAGTGTAAGAAGCTTAGAAGAGCTTGGAAAATAAAAAGAAAGAGAGGAACCTGCAAATGAACAAGGCCTCCCATTGGGATAATTTTCCTCTGCGATTGTCTCTGATTTCAGATGAAAGTTAGCGGTTTCGTGACACTGCAGTTAAGTAGTGTGTCACTACGGAAAATGATTTAAGAAATGGTAAATTGAATTAGGCTTCTCGTCATACTGATGTATGCAGTCACTCAAACAGCAGCTGGTAGCAGGGCAAGGCAGGAGATGATGGGGATTTCAGGGTACCTCCACCTCTGCAAGATGTTGGGTCATCCCTGAACTGCTGGAGAAAAGACAGGAACTGGCATTTGAAAGGAAGGACATGAATTGGAATTTGCCGAAGGGCTGCTTGTTGTGAAAGGGATGAATTCTTGGAGGAAATGTCCCAGAGAGCCTGCAGGGCACTGCAGACACAGAGCAAATACACATTTTTGGAGCAGACACTTTCATTAAACTAAGATTGTTGTATCTACAAACAGGTAGCTGGACAAAAAATTGGATGTGAGGTGCACAGAAGATCTCACAGTCTTCCCTGGCTTCATTTTAGTGCTGATGAGAGTACAGGAGCCCAGTGGTCTAAAAATTTCTTTTCAGGTACAGGGCTTTTTTAGAACAGGTGCACGCAGGAGCACGTTGTGCCACCACCTGTTGAGGGCCTCCGGTGGTGCTGAAAACAAGCAGAGCAGGCTGCTGGCAAGAAGCTGTCCCTTCACCCGCCTTCACTCATCTGCTTTTGTGTTGCAGGTGGATTATGATCGAGCGCAGCTGGTCGTTAGCCCGCCGCTCTCTGGGTCGGACACCTACCCCAGGGGCCCAGTAAAGCTACCTCAAAGTCAGAGCAAAGTCAGCTATTCAGGCAGCAGCTACCAGTACCCTCTGGTGTACCACAAAGCATCTCACTATCACCAGCCGTCTCTCCAGCCCAGCTCTCCCTATATTTCCACTGCCTCCTACCCCAGCTCCCCAAGTATCACGTCAAGTGCTTATCCTCCGCCCAGCTGGGGATCCTCCTCAGACCAGCAGCCCTCCAGGGTGTCCCACGAACAGTTCAGAGCTGCCCTGCAGCTCGTGGTCAGCCCTGGCGACCCTCGGGAGTATTTGGACAACTTCATCAAGATTGGGGAGGGCTCCACAGGGATTGTCTGCATCGCCACCGAAAAGCACACGGGAAAGCAAGTCGCCGTGAAGAAGATGGATCTCAGGAAGCAGCAGAGAAGGGAGCTGCTCTTTAACGAGGTGCGTGGTTTTAGGGGGCGCGATGGGTTCTGCAGGCGGGAGGTTCAACAGGAGAAGTGAGCCAAATGGTAACCTCAACAGCCAAATTAAAATCTTTCTGAAAGAGGTGGTGAGCCCCACGCACACCTGTGCTGTGTAAATCTTGTGTGACCAGACCAGTTTCAAGTGAGCTACGTCTCCTGGCTTTAAACCTATAGTGCAGTGGGAAGTCACAGTAAACAGGTCCCAAATCTGTCAGCTGGTACCTGCAGCATGTCAGGCGCACAGACATAGCCCGGCTGCCTTCTTCTAACCGTTGGCTGGTGTAGTTTATTCTTCCAAGGTGGAGGCTCCAAACTAACCAGACTGTTCAAGGAGCATGTGCAGTGTTTACATACACAGGCACATAGAGGCTTTCTGTTTCCACCCTCCTTCCTCTCCTGACCATTAGACGTCTCTTGGCTTTCTCGATGGTTACTAAGCAAATAGGTGACAGTCCTTTCTTCGTGGAACCTTCTATGTTAATTCCAATGTCTCCTTTCCTGAGTTGCTGCAGCCAGTTCAGAGCCCACCACTGCTTACAGAAGACTGTTTTCCTCATACACATTATTTTAAATTAAAGAACATTTGTTTTCACTTGCCATTTCTTCACCTAATTTGAGAATTCCTTCTGCAACAAAAAGTTTCCCATTTTTTTACTTTGTACTCCCTTAAAGAAGCTAAAGAATGGGGTGTGTCCTCCACTCCCTTTCCAAGATCACTTGTGAATATGCTGATCAATGCTAAAACCACTGCAGGTCCCCAGGGAAACCTCTTGCGAGAACTCACCTTTTGATTCTATCATTTGTTTCCCGTATTTTAACTATAAGATCATCCTGCCTCTGCACGTAACAGCCTGGTTTCTTTAAAAGCTTAACACTTTGTAATTAAAGTATTTTTTTAGCAAACTGTACACAGCTCTCCTTTGCACAGTCCATGCCTGTACTGGGTATTTTGGCTTCATTTTGGCTTCATTTTGCCTCTGCTGGAAGACTTGCACTGAATTGTGTTCCGGTAGCTCTAACTGAGCATCTCTTGAGCGGTAACATCTTGAGGCAGGTCCTACATGCTGTGCAGGACCAAGCTGCTTCCCTGACACGCTCCAGTCACTCATGTCACATGAAAATTTCTTTTCAGTGGTGCTCAAATTCCTCCATCTATAATGAAGCCTTCCCTGGCTGTTGTTCTCCCTCCTGATTGTCTTTCTGACGTGCCTCAGTACCATGCGGCCGTGGCCGCTGCCCTGGCTGGGCTGTTGTTACTGCGGTCCCAGTTCTGTTCAGTCCCTTTTAGATGTGGGATTTCAGGCATTTTAGAAATATCCCCTCTATTACCAGCTTTCTGTTAAAATTCCATACAAAGTGCCCTTTGACAGATGATGAAGATGAATTTGAGCGATTGATCAGGTCCAAAAAAAAGAATCTCTGTTGTGGTGAAAGCAATGAAATAAACAGTCCTGTTCCTGCTGTCTGAGAAAACCCCAATTATCTACCACTTATACTTCAACAACTAAGGGTTCTTCCCAATGCATTTACAATGACTGATATATTGATTTTGTTTATGCATTGGCATAAGGATGAAAGAGGATGTGATTCATAGCAGAACCTGTACTAAGCATGAAGAGAAAAGTACAATGAAAGAGAAGGTCAACACAAGTGTCAGATAATGCTTGTAGCCATTCACATACCATCTTTTTCTTCCTCGCAGGTTGTAATCATGAGAGATTACCATCATGAAAACGTGGTTGACATGTACAACAGTTACCTCGTTGGCGACGAGCTGTGGGTTGTGATGGAGTTTCTGGAGGGCGGCGCTTTGACAGATATAGTGACTCACACGAGGTGGGTTGGGTTGCGCTGGGGACCAGCAGCAGAAAGCCCACGGCGTGAGCCGGGCGGGAGGTAGACGCTGGAGCTCTCCTTGGTGGGGGCCTCACCTGCTGCTGGGGGAAGCTGGGTGCCTCCTGGCTCTATATGTGTGTTTTTATATATATAACTGTGTATATCTATACAAAATACACAAACATAAAAAATATAGTATACATACATGGAAAAATCTATACATAGTTATATATGTGTCTGTGTGTATGTATATGTGTATATTTGTACACATGTGTACGTGTCACTTCACCAGCATAAATAAGCCACTGCAGATGAATTCCTGTCATTACCAGCATTTTTTAAACGGAAGGGGAAGAAGTGTCTGAACAGGCCTGCTGGTAGATGGGGATTCACTGGCACTTTAGGAAGTAATTTAGCAGCGATGCAACTTTTATCTATTACTTCCTTAAATGACAAAAAAATGTATCTTCTTCTCCCGGTTTGGTGATCTCTGTGGTTGTTTTTGCTGTCACAACTACATCAGTTCTCAGGATGGTTTCTCTCCATACTCATAACCCATGCAACCACACTGTTAGAAACGTTAACTGCAAACAAAGCCTAAAATGAAATGGGAAAAGTATTTTTATATCAAAATATTCATGCTTGCGGTAGAGCCTGTTCCCATATTTCAGTTAATATTGTAGCTTTAAAGACAGCTATTTGCCAGCTCAAAAGCTGTAGCATAAGGAACTGCTCTTCCTCTTTTGAGTGGAGACATTAGATTTTACAGCCCTCTTTACATCTGCTCTTCACTCATCTTTTCCTGATAACCAGGATAAAATGAGATAGGGAAGAGGAATTCTTTATTTAGTTTCCTACTGTTGAATAAAAAAATAAAAATTTCCACACCAAACCACTGGACGAATATTTAGGTGAGCCAGAAGAAAAGTGAGGAGTAGTAAACTAGAGAATTTTGTCTTCTCTTATAGTTTAACAATGCTTGTAGATTCTATAAAAATCAGCGTTCTAACACAGGTATTTTATTTTTTAGTGTTGCCTTAGATGATGTGCTGAAATAAATCGCCGTATTTCAGGTCGTTTGTTAACTAGTGCTCCCCAAAACATTAAAAGCTCTGTCTTGGATATTTCTATCAAGAGTTTGACAGCAAACAGATGTTCCCAGGACACCACTTCTTAGGAGCTGCCATCTGTTTTTTTACTCAAAATAGTCTTTCCTTAATCTTACGGATTTTTGTGTTTTTTTTTTAACATTGCATGACCTTCCCTCAAAAATTTTGCTGAAATACTGCAAATTGCCCACCAAGTTAAATCAGAAATCCGCTCAGGTGTTTTTCTGCTCACGCAGTAGAAATGGTGGGGACGCCCGGCGATGGGGCAGTGACACTGGGGCACGCAACCCATCCCGGCTGTCACCATCACGCTGAGCGACGGCTTCTTCCAAAACGGGGTTTTGCACGTGAGCACAGAAATGAGGACTCTTGTTTATTTTTCTACCAGAAATACTCCCAAATATTTTTATCGAAGGCATAAAAGCAAAGAAGTGCTCTTGAAGAGCTACACCCAGGGCCTGATGGTTTGTCTGCACAATTAAGAGTGGGTTTTTTGCATATTTATTCCGTGCCTGTTTGCATCCCAGCAGTGATTTACCCTCCTTGGCAAGCAGCGAGTTTACTGTAAATAAGGCATTTCCGTTATTTCCCAGAGGGAAGCAGGCTCACTGTAGCAGGCTACAGCACACAGAACACTGCATTTTCAGTGCTGCAGGGACACATACCCAGATCTCCTTACAGAGCCTGATCCTCACCCCTCATCTTCCGTTTTTGGACAGAAACAGGAGCAGAGAATCACCCTACAGAGCCATGGTGCAACTGATCTTCTGGCGGGCTGTTTACTGGCGGGAAAGGGGACTTGTGCATCCTTGCTCCAGCTCCCCTTTCCTGCTGTCTCCGTTAACTCTCAGCTCGTTTTCCCACCTTGCTGTTTCAGGATGAACGAGGAGCAGATAGCGACCGTCTGCCTGTCTGTCCTGAGAGCCCTGTCCTACCTGCACAACCAAGGCGTCATCCACCGCGACATCAAAAGCGACTCCATCCTTCTCACGAGCGATGGGAGGGTGAGAGCCCAGCATTTCCCCGGCCGTCTCTTGGGGCTGGCGTGAAAGTAGCTGTGCACGTTCAAAGTGATACTGGCTTAAAAAAAAAACAACAAAAAAAACACCAGGTGCATGAAACCAAGGGGTACAACCTGTGAGTAACTTGTTAGAGAGCTGAATCAGGAAAACACAGGCCTGGCCTGGCTGGTGATTGACATCTGCAGAATTCCCGGGAGGGATCGGAGCTGTCACAAGGCAGCGGCAGAAGAAGCTGTGCCATGGGGTTGATGGTTAGGTGATAGGAGACCTCCTTTGACTCTGAGCCCCTCCTACTCGGATGCTTCGGAAAGGCTTTCTTTTTACTACGTGTAGTTATCCTTTAGTTAACAAGCTGATATATATTTGTTCTGCTTTCCCAAGCTAGCTAGGAGGCTACCATCAATCTATGCAAATAGGAAGTAGTTTGCATTACTGCTGAAACACTCCCCTGATGGTGAGAGTAATTTTTACCGTAGGTGTACTTACAAGATGCTTGATAACTACACTTGCATTTGCTTGGGAGAGAGGGAGACAAATGATGCACATGACCTGCTCCATAAGCAAAGTAAAGCTGGCATGCAAAAAAAAAAAATACTACTGCAGCAGAGTTTGGTTGCATTGAAATTATTATCTCCTTACAAGGAGAAAGGTGGCTTTGGGCAGCAGTATTTCTGGGCATACACAGCCCAAAAACTTGAGGCACCTAAAATCTGGGGCACCCAAAGGTTTTACTGGAGGGCACTAGGCACTACTTTGCATCTCACCTTGTAGCCCCATTGGGATAATTCGAGTAGAAACTACAGCCCTCATGGCCAGTGAGTGCCACCAGCAAGGCTCTGAGGGCTCTGCTGGTATTATCCGTGTGTCTAAAGCGAGACGTAGTGGATTGGCCTGAGCCCAAGAGCACCCGGTCGATCTGGAACCAAACCTACATCTTCTCCTTCAGAAGGTAAAACATCTGTCTTGCAGGCCTGCTCTGATTCCCTAATAAAAGCTCGCCTTTATAATTTGATTTCTACTCCACCAAGGGAGAGGAATTTTCTTCCTGCAGCTGTCACAGGCTGCTCCTGTTAATCCTGTCAAGGGAAGAAAATTTCACGTGTGTGTAGGAGTTTTTCAGTTGCGATTTCAATCCATGTTGCTGAAATAGCATCTGATCTGCTCTCGGGATCTGCATACAGTGCCTCATTATACTCATTACTCCAGTACTTATTATCTGCATTGCAGATTTCTTCATGGCTGTGTTGTGCAATTATCTTTTTTTAGAAAAACGTCTTCTTTTATATACTCGAATGAGCAATAGGTATGCAAAACCTCTCATGCTCTTCCAAAGGAAGATTGGGCTCTGCTTCCAAAATACGCATTTTTTTTCATCCTGTAAACTGAAAAGTACATTTAGCACAGAGACCTTGGCTATTACTGGCTTTGTTTTAGAAATACCAACCATCATTTTGTAATTCTGTTAAAAATAATACCCTTAGCTTTAAAAAAAAAAAAAGTAATGTCTGTACTGAATCCAAAAGAAACGAAATCAGTGCTGATAATAAAATGCTGGTCTACACAGTGCAGGGATTTATGCAACGTCCCGGGGCTGTTTGGGCTCATTTCATGTCCCCAGGTGCCCAGTCCGTGGTCAGATCCACGGCTTGTGGACACTGGACATGGGTCCCCATTGCTATGTGGTGTACATCAGGGTCGTGGGCGTTAGGCTAATATCCAGGAAACACCTTATGAGAGCTTCTAGGTCTCCAAATAAATACTTGGGAGAAAAAAAAAGAAAAATACGAGCCTTGAGGAACAAACTGTTTTGGGCAGGGGTGATGCCGCCAACACTCAGACCAGGTTGTTTTGGTCGGGGGCTGGAGGAGTTTTCACCTTGGTGTTGTACAGCAACAGGGAGGGGGAGGCGATAATTTTCCATAATTTTTGTTGTGGAAAAAAAAAAAAGACCAAACAACCTGGCATAAAAGTATGAGCAGGCACATGATGTAGCAAGAGCTGCTCTCCGGAGTGCTTGTCTATCCCATTATTTCTATTTCAGGTCACTGCCACAGCTACTCAAGGACAGTCCCGTCTTAATTCCTGAGTTCTCAAGCAAAGGGAGTAGGTCCCTTATCTCTTACACCCATTTTGAAAGAGTCTCACCCAGATGAGCTTCCCTCCTACATAAAGATGACAGCTTCTTTAGTCATAGCCCACAGTGTGAGGACCTGGGCTTCAAAAATCAGCGGCAGGGGTATTGCTTTCTGTGAATGTTAGATCACACTCCCTGTGCTAAAAGAAAAGGGGGTGGATGCCTCTTGTTTTATTTGTTTTCTGGCAAATTCACAGATCATATAGTTTACACAATTAACAGGAGTGGTTTATATCACTTGAGATTTGTGTATTTTTGAATAGTGGTGTACATAGACTACAACATGGGGCTTATATATACATGCAATAATAAATTCATTACATAGAGCTACTTCAGAATTTTTTGCTTTCCTTCTATATTTTTAAATAGAAGGCATTTATCACGTCCGCATCTTCTGCTGGTGGAGAGGTGATGAGCTACCACAGACAATCTTAGTAACGAGCACCATGCCCCTCTCCTACTTCTTTCCTTTGTGCTCATTTGAACGAGCTGCGCATTGCCCAGGCTCTATTGCTGTCTCCAGCCACAAATCCAAACCCGCGCCGCCTTCCTGCCCTGGGGAAGAGCCGTAGCTCTGTCCCTGTGCCCCCAGCTGCAGCGAGAGATGGGTGTCTCAGAGGCACAGTGTGTCTCAGAGGGCTTGGCATTGTTATTCAGGAGGGGTATTTTTTTTCTTTACTTTTCAGATAAAATTGTCCGACTTCGGGTTCTGCGCCCAAGTGTCAAAGGAGGTCCCCAGGAGGAAGTCGCTGGTTGGGACGCCGTACTGGATGGCACCAGAGGTGATATCCCGCCTGCCCTACGGCACCGAGGTGAGCACAGCAGACCCGGAGCAGGTGTTTTCCCTCTTGCCACAGTGTCCTGGTTGACCCCACCGAGCCCTGTCAGAGCCGTGCAGTTCAAATGCATTTATGCAGCTATGCTAAATAAGAGCAATTATGTTTGCCCCAGAGTGCTACACCGTGCCTTGGTTTAAAGCAGTTCTCCAAGACAAAGCAGTTAAATAACAACTCCGTTTAGCGCACAAAACAATGTAATGGCTTTACATATTTTAGCTTAGGGTGCAACTGGCATCGTTTTCACATCATGAAAGAACCTTTGATGCTCTTCAGCATAAAGCCTGCAAACTGGAGCTGCAGCTACAGGGGTCTACACCTGCATCTGCCAAACCAGCAGCCAAATCACACGTTTGTATTGCACACGGCCAGGTCACATTGGGATTTGCAGAGTCCTGCAGGCAGAGATCCACTCCGTTTTCACCCAGCTAAAGCCTGAGACCCTTCCTCTGCACATGTGCCGGCACGGATGTTGTCCTGTAGGCTCCCAAACACGGGAGCCGGCTGGGTGGATTGGATTGCCACCCTCTGTTGTAGCATTTGTCTCAACACTAGCTTATTCCTTGCAGGCCTTGCTCTCATGAGTTGGGAGACGGGATAATTTTAACTATTTTAAGTACTACCAAACGGTCTGAAAAAGACAATTCATATATGGTGGCGGGTTTTTTTACTGGAGCCCTTCAGATGAGACCTCTGCAGTGCCATGTCCCGTCACTTAGCAAGCTCTGAGTGACGGCACTTGTGCACTGTCAGCCCGGGCACGGCAATCCCCTCTCCTGGGCTCAGTGCCTCGCCTCCCCAGCCACAGTCACGGCTGCCTTTTTCTCCTCTATGTGAGGAGGCGAGTCAGCTCCTGCTTCCTAGTGCCTATAGGAACAGCTGCAGAGAGCAAACCTGCAAGACAAATATAGATTTGTAGAGATACTGATATATTTACCCACAGATACACACACACCTATATATATATATATACACACACACACAGAGATACAGATATATAGAGGTAGATAGAGATATACCAATAAATATAGCAGGGACTGATCTGGTGCAGGCAGGGAGAGGCACCTGCCCGAGGTCGAGAGCATCCTGCGAGCTCCAGTGTTCACTCAGGACACGTGGCATTGTAGAAGACATTTCAGGGATAATAACATCAGCTATTATTAGCCCATTAATAACACTGAAGGGATTATAAAGTGGCTGAACTTATGGCTCCATTACATTTCCCTGGCAGAAGGGAAAGGAGGGGGGGGAAGAAAAAAAAAAGAAGAAAAAGAAAGAGGGTTTAAGTTGAAGGATAGTGCTGGCAAAAGAGCAAAAGCAGTACAAACTGGCCTTGGCTATATTTGGGCTGGGGCTGGAAAATGACGGGAATTACAGTCATCAGAGGATTGGGATTCTGGAGCAGCTCTGCAGCAGGACCAAAAAAAAAAAAAAAAAAAAGCTGGAGCAGAATAATTTTCCAAAGAGATTATGTAATGTAATGGGAAATGGGCCTGGGTGTACTAAGTGCTTCTGCTTGCCTTGACTGATCTCAGATGGAGTTTCTGTACTTTTTAAGATTTAGGGGATTTAGAGTAACTGATTCCCTGGCCCTTTCCTGCAGCACTGCAGGGTCAACCTGGGGTAAATACTTCATGGGTGCAAATCAGTGCAGCTGAAATGCAGCCAGGCTCTCAGGTGAGCATGCCTCACCAACACTGCAGTGGACATCACCTAAAACAGCTGCAGACACGAGGCTTTAAGCTGTTTCTAATTCATTTCTCCAATGCACTTTACTGCTTAGAAGACTAAATCGTTGTCTGGTTAATAAAGATTTCTGGTGCTGGCTCACCAGAATTTGGTTTAGCTTGGCCACAGGTACAGCAGCCTGACCCCAAGTGCTGAGCCTGTTTGCCCCCTCTGTGCCACTGGACTGTGTGTTACAGGTGGATATCTGGTCCCTGGGCATCATGGTAATAGAGATGATTGATGGAGAACCTCCCTACTTCAATGAGCCGCCGCTGCAGGCCATGCGCCGAATCCGGGATAATTTACCGCCTCGAGTGAAGGACACGCACAAGGTCAGATTTTTTTCCATGGGTGATGTGGATCTTGCACATACAAATGCTTAATAAAACCAGAGCCCCACACTTCCACTCAGTGCAGTACTCAGAGCCCTTCAGCTCGGTACAGCTGTTGCCACTGGAAAGCTCAGTGTGTCCCTTTTGTCTTTAAACGAGTGTCTTTGTCTGCCCCTAATACCAGTGTCATGTTCTAGGTCTCCTCGGTCCTCCGGGGCTTCTTGGACTCGATGCTGGTGCGGGAGCCCTTACAGAGAGCCACAGCACAGGAACTGTTGAGACACACGTTTCTCAAGCTGGCCGGGCCCCCTTCTTGCATCGTGCCCCTCATGAGGCAGCACAGGCATCGCTGAACCCGGGACTCTTCAGGAGGAGGTCGCTGCAGAGTCTGGGTAATGAAATCCCGACGGTCGTGTGGGAACCGCGGGCAGGGAGGAGCGAAACCTTGCTGAAGGAAACCAGCCTTGCACAAATAACGTGGTGTATAAAACCCCAGGGAGCTGCTCTTTGGGGCTGCGAGGGACCAGGGAGCGACGCTGGCCACCCATAGGGTGGCCACGCTCCGCCGTGGGCCTCACTCCCCAGCACTGTTTTCTTCTCGACTGTCCAGGCAGAAGGCACCAAATGCAACCAAGGTTGGAAAGATAATTAGTAGAGGATAGCACAACCAGAGTGAAACACCAGAATTTTATTGCAGGCTATGGCACTTCTATTTCAGAAGAACACTTTTCTGACAAATAAAGCACTTTTTATCTCAGTCATGGCAGCGCAATGTATTTTGCAACAACTTTGTAATTTTCTGTACAGTACGTTTTGATAATTTGCAGTTCTTTGTCATGTAACTTGTGTTAGTTGGAGTATTAAGTGTAACTTAGCAAGAATTTGAGAAGATAAAATTTCCTACTTTTTTAAAACGTTTTTGAAAACAAAAACAAACAACAAAAAAAAAACCCAACAAAAACCACATATCACCTTTAAGAAGTTAGAAGGTTTTGCAGATTTTCCATCGGGGTGAGGAGGGCACTCCTGCCGTCCCAGCAGCCTGAAGAGCCAGCGACATCCGACGCTCGTGGGAGCAGCGGCAGCCTGGCCCTCGTGCTGCCGGGGCCACCAGCGTGGGTGGGCGTCAGGGTCTCCCTCCCCAGCTCTCCGGTGGTGGGAGCCGACACCGCCTCTGCACCTTCGCTCAAGGGTCACTTTCTCGTGCCAAGGCAGGCCCTTCATTTTATGCCACTGCAAGGTCAGTTTTATCATCACCAAAAACAAAGAAAAAAGCAAATCCACGCCATTTCTGTCATGCTCTGAAAGCGGAAATGGACGTCAGGAGTCCGTCTGTCTGTCTGCCTGCCCAAGGGGTGTCCTCCAGAGCTCAGACACGCCCTTGAGATGCGTTACGAGGTGTTTGCCATATAGGAGTCGTGCTGCTGTCTAGACCTTTTTGAATGTTGATGCAACAGTGGACTACTAGAGTACAATTTTGTGTTATTTGTTGGATGACTGCATGTTAACTGTAGGCCTAAATAGATTTGCCTTTAAAATTTTTAGAAGTGCTTCATAATTATTTCAAGGATAAATGAATTTTATTTATTAATTATTAGTTCTTTTTAATTATGTATAATATGAAAGCCATGTTTTCTTCAAGAGTTGTTTTTTTTTTTTATTTCGTCTTACTGACCTCATTTTACAGTATCATTAAGAAACACAAAGCCAATTTTGTGAAAACACAGGGTTTTGGGGTTGTTTGGTTTTTTTTTAATTGAATTTCATAATGAATAAATTAATTGTTATTTATTGTAGTTAGTTATAACCAAACAGCTAAACCTAGCAGGAGCTATTTCTTCCTCCAGGACAAAAAAGTTGCCAATAGTAAAGAAGCTCCCTCAGTACTGCCCTTAAAGAATATTTGAAGGGAGAGGAAACAATTTAAAACAAAACAAAACAAAAAAGGGGAGATAATTATGAACTTGAACACTGAATAAATGTTCTCACATCTGTGTGTCTTACTCCCCGCTGCTTTCTCTTCTCCAACCCTGTTTGCACATTTTAAGAAGACACTGAAGAAAATGTGTTTGGCTCTCACCCCAGCCGCGCTGCCGGGGCTCCCCGCAGCGCCCGCCTGCGGCATCCCAGGGCCTTCCTGTCCTGTGGCCTCGACAACTCAGGAAACCAGGCTGCACCGGCGATGACACACAGTGACACACAGGCCAAACTCATACCACCCACAAACATCAACTATCGTAACAATCTTCGAATAAAATAAGGGGTTGGGGGTGGCGGTTGTTTTTTGGGTTTTTTTTCTTCAATATTCAGCATATTTTAGGCTGTTCAAGAGAAGAAATTTCTGCAATTTTCTTATTAGATACTTTGAAACAGTGTTCAACAAGTTTACTGACAGTTTTGTCTATTTCAACGGTTGGGGGGTTTTCTGTGAACACCAGCTACTGGTGAGACAAATGCAAATGCAAGTTAAATAAATTAATTAATAAACACTTTAATTTTCAGTGTGGCTTCACCCTCTCCCCCCCTTGTTTCTAATTTTTAAATTTGACTTGGTTACACAGTACTGGACCAAGTAAGTTTAAAAAAAAAAAAAGAGGTTCCTTGTATGCATGTGAGTGCTATTTTTATATATATATAGACACACACACGCACGGTGATTTGCAGCGCTGTCTCTAGTGATCTTAAAGTGTGAGTGGCCCTGATCCCTTGGTGTCATCCCAGCTCTGGGGTGAGGAGTTGCTGGCAAACCCCAGCCTCAGTGAACATCACAGGACTGCAGCTCCAGCACTGCAAGGGCTTGGCGCTAGGAAAGGCACTGGCTCAAAAATAAAACCTGTGCCTACCCGCCAGCCATGGGAAGCTCAGTCAGGAGTCGGTGGCTGTACAGGCACTAGAGAATAGGTTGTTTTCTACTTCTTGATTGCATTTATTAGTTTAAGGTATTTGAAATGTGAAATGCTGCTGTCCAGCTATAATTTTCCAAAGTAAGATGGAATACTGGAACCATTCTTCCCAGGCGCCCCAGCAGAATCAGTCAGCTAATGCATCTACACTATTATTAGCTCTCCTGTGCATCTTCAAGTCTTCCTAATGAGGTTTTTGTATTACTTTTAGTTGCTCACATAAGTCATTGTTTCAAAATGTCATCAGTTAAGAAAGAAAAACACAAAAAAAAAACCCCTGGATGCCTGTTTCACCCACTGCACTTAAAATAAAGCCAAAGCCAAAAAGGCAAGGAATAACTGACTGACTATGGCCTGTTGCCTTGGGCTGTACAGGTGACTGAGCCACATTCGTTACCTTCCCTACAATTTGTGCCTCGGGTACTCTCTGCCAGACCTTCCCAGGTCTTGTCTCCTGCAGCCCCCGACAGCTCTCAGGCCCTTACCCTGGTCCCTGGGGTGTCCATGATGCAGAAGACACTTCCTCCATCACTATCAACTTGTGGCCTGAGCAGGCTTGCCCTTATTGGGCATCTCAGCAATAAAAAAAATTAATAAAATACACACACGCACAGACACACACACAGTCTTTAGTTGCAGGTTTGTTTTTTTTAGATACCAGATGTTGGGAGCATCCATTCACCCAAAAGACATCTTCACCTCCTGCACCAGCTGAGGCTGAGCTCTGCGTGTGGCCAGTCACTCCACTGCATTTATTCCTGCCTGGCATGGAGGAACGTGGCTTTTTCTGAGGTCACCAGTTCTAGAAGTATTCACAAATACTCATAATTCTAGTAGCAAAGGCTGGGGCATTATTTACTGGCTGCGTAACTCCCCTCTTCAGCAATACATCAATAATTTATAAGTTCTAATCATAAGTACTTTGTAAGTCATTAACAGCCGCTTTAATAAGTGCTTAATTATTACAGGTCCTTGTAGAGCTCAGTAGGGTAATAAGTTGCTTATATTTAGCCACTAGTGTGTTCATAAACATCTATGAAGCAAAGCATTCAAGTTTGCAACTAGTTCATAATAAAACATCAGAGCACGAAAGCTAAATATGAAATGAAATCACAATAGAAGTGCTGCCCTCAACACACTGCTGTAGTTTGATTGGCAGGAGGAAAGTTGGACAGGGTTTTTTTTAGTGTCTCATAAATAAATTTTAAAAAAACAGGCTAGGCAAGCTTAAAGCAATGGAAAATTCAGATCAAATTCAGTAAATAATTGTTAGCAAAAGGCTAAAATGAAAAGATTCAAAGGGTTTTCTTTCAACATCTTCAATAACTTTAAAGAAGATATATCAGTTTGGGGCACAATACAAACTATCATTGAACTGGTATGTGTTTCTATTTCCTTTTTTCCACAAAAAGGACAGGAAAAACACTTCAGTCCCACAAATTATTTTCTATCTTAATTTAGGAAAAAAAAAACCAAACAAACCCAACACCCAAGAAAGTAACTACTACATTTGTGCAGCTCTGTTCCCAGTAGCTTACAAGCGTTTTCAACCTGAAGGCAATGCCGAGTGCTACCGAGCGACAACCTCTATCATCTGCCATGAAAACCAGCAGAAGTTCTTACAGTGTGTGGGCAGAGGGTCACAAGAGAGGCATCGGCTTTTAGAGGGGTGTCCTCTCCTTCGCTGGCTGATGCCACCACTTCAGTGCAGTGGCCAACACTCAAGCAGAGGGATCAGTGAAAGCCAGTTTGCTAAGAGCAGTGGAGGCAATGTTTTCCTTGGGACTGCCCTCACAGGATCACTGGAGGCCGAATTAAAATTAGTTTGTGAAGTCAGCCATTCATAAGCATTTTTTTTTTCCATCTCAAATACATACAGATGTTTTAGAGCATCTCCCGGTTACACCAGCTGGGTCTTCCTCTCTTTCTGCAAATGGGAAAGCAGCAACGTAACCCACAAGCTGCTAAAACCCACCAGCAGCTTTTATTGGAACGAGGCACAACAAACTCCCAACTGCTCCAAACACCAGCCTGGAGATCTGATCTGCCGGCAGCTCCATCCACCAGCCACCGCCCCTCCCAAAAGAGACTCTAAGGCAGCTAACACAAGCCCCAGGTTTTGTTGCCTTCCAACAGCTCCAAATCTCTGAACTGTAGCTTCCAAGGGAGGCTAAGAAAAATTAAAAGTAGCCCGTCCAATGCTGCAAGGGTGCAGGGCAGGGGGTTTCCAACCTCCTGCTGCGGTTTGGAGAATTATCTGTCAACCTCTTGCCAGCTACAGATGATCCTTCCAAAATCCACTCTGCAAAAGAAATATCATTTATGCAGGATATAAGAAACCATACTGCAAACGGAATTGCCAGCCTGCTTGTGCAAGGAGCTGTCACACAAGATAAAAGCAGGAGGCCAAGAAGAAGGAGCATAAAGGCTTTGTTCAACTGTGTGTTATTGCATGTTTTGTATACTTGGGAATATTTCGCATCTACCCTGCCACTGGCTCTGCACTGGCCTCAGTACAAGGCTGAATGCACCCAGAAGTCATGGACAAGTCCATCCCTTCATTAGGTGAAAATTTTGGGAGAGGGGCATTAGAATTCAAAAACATAAAAATGCTGCAATGTGCATTTTCTTATCTCTGCAAAGCTTCTACTAAAGACAAGTGAAAGGGGAGAATCTTTTTTTTGGTCACCCATTTAAAGTTTTGATACCCAAGTGGATATGCAACTAAAGTTTTGCAAGGGGAAAAAAACCCCAAACCAACAAACAATGTGGGATAGGTGCTGATGAAGGTGAGAAGAGGCAGAAAAAGCAGCCCATTCCAAGAGAAACTGACTGCACAGTAGAAAAACAGGAACCTCTTCCTTGCTTCCAGCCACAAAGTTCTTCTCTTCCCCCATTTTCCACAGACAGCATCCCATCTGTTTTCTATCTCTGATTATACTCAGCTGAACCAGCAGAAATTTGCTCCTAGTGACACAGGACACCGGACAGGTGAGGGACCGGCCTCTCACTGACTGGAATGTCTCCAGTTTGGTGCAATTTCCATCCCCATCCTGCTGCCGCCTCCTGTCCCACTGCTGCTCGCGCACGCAACGGTGCCATCCCAACAGCTCCTTCCTGCAGCCGTCTTGCCAAAACTGTTCAGAAGACAGATGACAGAGGAGGGGCTTCTTTGGCATCTGTGGTTCAGCTGTTTGCTTCCCTTTTTTCTTTTTTTCCCCCCACAGGGGTTGGGGGGATGTCTTAATAGAGAAGCAGATGTTCCAGGCTGACAGGAGCTGGCTGGGAGAGCCTTTCTGGCTGGAGGGCAGACAAAGGCGAGGCAGGACAAAGCTGATAACTATGCCCCCTCTCTATTAAGGATGAACCTTTAATGCATTTACTCACCCTCCTGCTACCTACAGCTTTTTTCTGACTGCCTCTATAATAACTTTTTTTTTTAATAATAATCAGCAAGTGGCACTTGGTCAGCATAAGGCATGCTCAGAGTGCTTTCACTGGAGTTAAGAAAAGGGCAAAACCACAAGCATCATTAGCACTATAATTTTGCTTCTTGCATCCAAATGAGAAAACAAGAAAGCTGAACATAACACAGAAACAAGTCCAGGAATAAGACAGGATAAAAAGGGAGGCTCTTGCTGCAGCCACCTTCATCAAAAAAAAAAAAAACCACCCTAAATTTTGGAGGAGGCTGCAGCATTGAAAAGCAGTTAAGTTTCTCCTCTTGCACTTCTCACAATAGAAATAACTATTTTTATTTGCTTACTACCCTGTTTTAAGCTGAAAGAGAATCATCTGCGTAAGTCCCCGCTGGGATCAAATCAGTTCAAGAACAAGGTGTTTTCCATACCCTAAACTAACACAAGGTCTGGACTAACTCTTGCTGCGGCAAATCCAGAGCCAAGGGAAACCAAAGATTTTGGTGGGACCTGGATTAGACCAGAGTGAAACCCATCATTGCTACAGAATGTATAAGAAAGAAACTGCCTAGAGATTAGAAAAGTAATAAAAATAACCAACAATCACAGAATACTGACCCTGTCTTCACCAAACCACCTACACCAAAAATATTGCTAGAACAAATCCTACATTTAACATCCATTCAGACAACATATTTTTGCACTGATTCCATTAGATACCATGGAGTTCATAAAAGCCATTTACATCACTTCCAAATAAGAAGGCAAATCAAGTATTATATATGTACATGTTTTAATTAATTTTAAAAACCATCTACATTTAAAGATAGATTTCAAGGGTTCCCTTATAATTTGTTCAGTTACATTAGATTATACCTGAATAATCTGCATAGTGACTTTAACATTTCTGTCTTTCTTTTTGTTTTGTTTCATTGTGAAAATATCAGTTGCAGGTAGCAATGTAACATCTCAACAACAATCACAATACGTGCAGGATGTCCAGCCAGAAGCATTTCTCAGTTGACTTGCAGTAGCATGGCACTTCATAACTTGTGCATCAATACTATTTTTTTTTTTTTAAAGTTTAGTTCAGATGTAGCTCAAGAAGCAAAAACAAACTTTCTTCACTCAGTCTCAAGCATGGGGTCAGTGCCTCAGCTGGCTGCAATCTGCTCTACTGGAGTTACTCCAGTTTATACCAGCTTGAGGTCCCGGCCTTTTTTTATTATTATTTTTATTGTTATTTTCAAAACACACCTGTATTGCCTTCATGCTTTCCTTAACATGAGTGCAAACTTCAGGAAGTCCCTTCATTACAGGACCTTACTGAGGTCTGCGCAATGGCTCTGTCTCCCCGCCCCACTCCCTGCACGGACATGAACAGCAAGGGCTGAAGCCACCAAGAGAAGTGCAGTGGAGAGGGAAGAGTCTCTTGAGAAGGAAAGAAAGAAGGAAAGGAAAAAAAAAAACCACCTAATTTTGCCCCCACTGTTAAACTTTGACATGTGTAGCATTTGCGTTTCCAGATGATCAGCCCAGCTGTTGAAGAAGGTATTCATACCACCTACTGCCACAGGCTCCTAAAATCAGGTGCTCAGAGTCTTCTTACAGAGACAGCTCTGCCTCTGCACTGGCTGTAGTGAAGCCATGAAATACCCCCGATTAGGTGTTGTGAATACCGTCTCTCATCCCCCGCCACAACCTTTCCTCACCCTTAGAAAAAAGTGCTTTTGCTTTTTCTACCTGACAAATATCTGGGCCGCTCGATCCTGTCCCCTATCCCATGTGTTTGTACTGAGATCTGTCCCGAGGAATCTGCACTTGGTTGGCCGTCAGCTTGTGGTGGATATGGTAAACACAGAGGGTTATCACGATAACCAACCCCAGAATCAGGCCCAAAATCAGCGGCAGGGTTTCTTCCAACTGCTCCCTCTGGTCCACTGGGCACTTGTGTTCTGCAGGGAAAGAAAAAAGAAAAAAAAAAAAAAAGAGAAAGAAAGAGAGAAATGAATGAGCCTTTGCAGAACTGAACTCCTGCTGTAATAGCAGACCAACCTTCCTGGAGTCACAGCTCCACACCAGGGGTCCCTCTGCAGAGCAAAGAGCCGCAACAGCGAGGAGAGACAGCAACCATCATCGGAGTCCTGGGGAGAAAATCAATTGCTTTGGAGGAAAGTGAAATTTCAGTCAACGCAGAGTTTGGAGGGCGAGGTAACATCTATTGAATCACCTGATACAGTGGGAAAAACCGTTTGCGTGCCCCTAAGCTCCTCTTTAGATCTCTTTGCCACACCAGCACAGCAATGGCCTTGTTGGGAATGGGACAAGTTATCCATATCATGAGACCTCAAGTCTTTAATCTTGCACCAGACTTACCCTGCTCATTGTTAAAAGACTTTTCCCTTCAATCTGCAAGCTGACAGAAATCTAACAGCATCTCTCCCCATGAGTCCACCAGTACTGGCAGAGCACACGTGTGTTGGTGGTCTAACAGCCACCTGGCACCCCAGGGTTCTGTCAAATACGGCAAAGGATGGGCAGAGGTAACATGAGCCTCCTCAGTGTTTTTCTCTCTGGCCTGGTCTCTCTGTCATAGTCTAATAAACCAATAAAAAATAATCACAGCTACAATGGGAGAACACTTTTCTATTTAGCTTGCCAAAGCTACCAATGTCTGGAAATACATTACACCGGTAATCCCAGTTCAGGTCCCTTACAATTCCAGAGTCTACTGCAGGCCTGAATGACAGGATCATGAATCATGACAGGATCATGGGAATGCTGCTTGCCCGTGCTCATGGACCTGCAGAGCTGATGCCGCTGAAATGGGGCTGCCAGATCAAAAGGAAGTCAAATGCCAACTCTGGGGAAAAAAAAAAAAAAAGAAAAAAAAAGGTTATGGAGCACCGGAGTGACAGTGCTCTGGCTCCTACATGATCGTCTTCGCAGTACTAGAATGTGTTGAAAACAATGCAGTTAAAAAAAAGTAAATATAATAGGAGAGGCTGCATGTTAGACGAGCAGATACAAAGGGCACCATTAAGTCCTCCCATCGCTAAAGACCATCCAGATGGTTCCCCAGGCAGCCAACTGCAAGACGCAGAGATCAGTGATAACTACAAACATCAAATGCTCTGCAAATCTAACAGCGTGTGGCAAAGAGCAGGAAAAACCCAGAGACCCCCCGCAGGCCCAGGCAAGAGGTGACAGCAGGGACGTATCTCCAGTGGTGACGGCACCTCCAGGAGCTCCGTCCCCCTGCCACTGCGGTGCCATCCTCCCAGCACCAGGCTCAGCAATGCCATCAGGAAACATTTCAAGCTGTAAACGAAGTGAAGCAAAAAAAAGCAAAAGTGAAATGTAGCCTAACAAAAAGAAAACACACCAAAAAACCAACAACAGAAGTTCTTTTCAGTTCTAGTTGCTCACTGTTTCACCACAGGAGTGATTAATCACCAGGACTGTGTTACAGGCGATTCAGCAACTGCTGCAATGCAGAGGTTTGGTTGGTTTGTAGTAAGGAGAAAGTGGTGGTGGGGGAAATAACCCAGAAACTGATTACTATTTAGCTCTCAAAACTGAGTTTTGAGAGCTTTATGAAAGTCTTCCTAGGTTAGGATGCTAAAGGCCTGGCCAGACTCACAGCAGTGCCAAGGGAGACACAGGGTGCCAGGGTGGCATCCCCAGACCTGACTGTGGGAAAAGCCACGTGCAGGGCAATGCAGTGGGGCCAGGGGTGCTCCGAACTGCCCCCCCGACCCCCGACTCACATGCCCATAGAGGGCAGCACCCCTCCTACAGGGAGGGTCTGCGCTAGAGGAGCTCCTGTGAACCTACCACGCGGCTGCAAGAGCCTGAAGGGCCGGGCTGTGCTGAGGCGCCCACCAGCAGCGGCTCAGTCCAGCTGCTGCAGCCTCCTCCTGCCAACGCTCATTTTAGTTTTGAAAGCTGTTTAGCTTAAACCCCGCAGAAAATTGAAACGAGCCTCCTGTAAACCCAACTGAGGGTATTCAGCCGTGCTCAAACACAGCAGATTTGCCCGTATGGACTTCCTTAAACAAGAACGATGCTGTGCTTGAAAGGGTCTGTAGCCAGTGAAGAAGGCAAAGCTAAAAGCACGAGTGCTGCGATGCAGAGGACTAACCCAACCCGAACTCACCTGCTTGCAATGTCTGAATTCCCAGCTCTTGCCAAAGCAAACTGGCTGCAGAGAAAAAAATCCTGCCAGAGGACACGGCCAAAACTTCGGTGTCGACAGAAAGGCGTCTGAGTCACAACTCAAAAAGGTGTCAATTCTTGCAAGCAGCCAAGGAAGACAGTTCTTTATCCTGACACTTTTTAAAGAGGATTAAAAGAAAAATGGCCCACAGGAAAAAAAAATAATAATAAAAAAATAAATCAAGGAAAAGCTGTCCCCAGCAGCACATCCACAAACCCTGCAGCTCCCTGGGCAGAACGCGCTTTGCTCCAGCAGTGAAGGCAGCCTGGCAGAGCAGCCACCTCCTGCCCTACCAAAAACCTTCTCCTCAGCAGACACATCCATTTTCTCGTTTTGGAGCAGGCTGCCAAACTCTGGGCTCACTGAAGAGCCCAGGGGAACGGAAACTGGGCTGTGGGAGACCCAGCACAAAGGCACAGGCAAGTGCTAAGCACAAACACATCTGCAGTGGAACTAAGGCTCTGCAGATGCTGACTGCTAGGAGGATGAGTTTTGTATTTTAACACTCATATAGTGTTGAAATGCATCATTTTACAACAAATTTTAAAAAACATTTTTGCATTTATAACAATGAACTTCGATGTTCATACAGCATTTTTCACCCCAAGAGTTCAAAGTGTTGCATAGGAATTGAGGTCCACAGCACCGTGGGGAGGTAGGTAACAGGTATCATCCCTGAACCATCAGCAAAGAAAAATGCAAAGTGGGAGCCAGAGGGGAGAAGGGTTTGCATAAAGTCAAATTCACACAAATTTAGATGCTCAACCCCACAGAGCACAGTGCAGCCAGGTGCACAAGTGAAACAGCATCGCATTGGGAACTGCCATGTATTTTAAATCAACAGCTTAGGAAGGAAAAGGTCCTTTTCCATCAAATTTTCCAGAGTATTTTGCTTCAGGTCACAGGGACCGTTCCCCAAATGGCTGGGTTTTACCCTCAGTCCAGAAAAGCAAAAAAAGTCCCTGGCAAATTTTAACTATGTGAAAAGTTCAGGTGATATCAGGAATTTAGTTGTACCCCAAACCTGGAGGGGTCTCCCCTCAGCCCTGGTTGCATCCAGCAAAGGCTGCGGGAGAATACAAAGGGAGGCATTTGGGTACCTTCCTCATTGTTCTTTTGTGCTGCGCTTCCTCCGACACCGCGCGGCACCCGGGCTCACGTACTGCCACGGTTTCTATGGTGAACGCTCGTCCAATTTCAGTACTAGGCTACGAAAACACCCAACAGGCCCATTTTCTTGTTTCAGCATCCTTCTGCAGAACAAATAGCAGTACGGCAAAAAAAATAAATATAAAACCCAGCGTTTTCCTGCAGTCATGACCACCACCTGACTGAGGAGCAGTGCAGGGGGTGTTCAAAGGGATGGAAAAAACCAGACAAGTTTTGTCTGGCATGATGGGATAGATTTTTAAGGTTTTGAGATGGGTGTTTTATAAGTGATTAGCCTAAAAAAACAAAACAAAACAAAAACCAAACCAAAACAAAACCAAAAAACTGTGTGCTTTTCTGAATGCAACCACACACCGTGCAAAGAGTTGCTACTTGGTGTCAAGGATGCTTGAAAAAATGAGGCTTTCGTTTGGGGTGGCTCAGAGGGAAATGACACTCCCGGGATCCTGGTCTCTAATTCTCAGCCTTTTTATTCCTTTGTATTTCGCATTGTTTCGATTAAAATCAGAAGAGCTGACAATTTCTGTGGGGTTTAAATGCTCTCCTCACACCTTCTTGTTTCGGCTCTCATTTTACTGATGTTTTAAGCTGAAAAACAGACACACTTTCTTTATTAAAAAAATAAATAAATTCCCAAGCTCTGAATGAGAAACTGTTCTGTTGCTTCTGTATTAAAAAGGTAAATACATAGGATTTACGTATTTGCAAGAGTGTGAAACAATGTCTTAAAAAATAAATTAAAAAATTCTAGCACAAATGTTTAAGCATTCAAAAAATAACAGCAATTCAATCACTTCCTACAAGCTTTTTAATCTGTCTGAGAGAGGTCAGTGTCAGGACTAACGACAAAACCTTCCTCCCCACTTCTTTGTGGTGAAAGAGCCCTGACCCTCCTGCATCTCAGCGACTCTTCTGCTCTAGCAGGCCTCTTCCTCTATTCTGAAATATTTTTAAATGTTCTCTAGCTTGTTCATAATTAATAGGAATTTTACCTAATGGGAAATTAATGAACCAAAAAGGAGAAGGCTAATTACCGTCATTTAAGATTGGCAGTGATTCTCAGACCCCACAAAGGATCATGTTTTGCCATGCATGTGCCGAGGACACGCTGGCTGGGGGGGACGTGCCGCTGGGAGAAGCTTCATTGATAAACGACCTCTCAGGCATTTCTGACCATCCTCTCTGAGTGTTCATCGCTATTTAAATTCCAGTGGAATTCACCAAAAAGAAGTGTTATTAAATAACGAGAGCAACAACAACAACAAAAAACCCAACAGAAAGCTTGTCAGAGAGACAGGAGGAGGAATTCCCCCCCTACATTTAAAGATTGCTAAACCAAGCAGGGTCTCTTTGTGTCCTGGAGATCAAAAACCAAAACCCAAACTATAACAACAAAGAAAAAAAAATTTACTGCCTAATTGAAAGAGCATATATGAAAAAGGCAAGCAGTTCCCTTCAGCACTGAACCCCAAATTTGTCTGTTTTAACTGTGAGCTCTCAGACCTGATGACGTGTATCACAGACACGCAGCAGCTAAAACTGAGTCCAGACTTGCAAATTTTTTAATACGCTTTTCTCGGTCTCCAAGGTCTGCCCAGCCAAATCCTGAGTGCAGGAAGCCTGGATCCACAGGAGAAGGGAGAGGATGACAATGTGCCAACATAAAAACTGTAGGGAACTATTAAATTCTACCTTTTTCTCCCTGTGACTTAAGCAAAATGCAGTACTACTTTGATAGGGGGAAAAAAAATAAAAATTTATTTGCTTCCATGTACAGAATCTACTCTGTACTACACTGGCCTTGCCATGAGTAATCCAGCCATGCAGAGCTCTGCCAGAGCCATTGTACATAATAGTATGTATTTACTACTACATCAGTTAGAGGAACATGAGTCATGAGCAGAAGTGCTCGGCTCTGTAGTCAGTGCTGGTTTTTTATTGTGTTCTAAAGCATTTCCCACATGCAAAATAATAAAAGCCCAAGGTTTTTAATGCTAGGCTTGAAAAATAACACCATCATTTTCTACCTTGCTATTAAAAGATATGGCTATTACAAATTTCATTTTGCATCTTGTTATAATAACCGAGATCACTAATTTCCTGCAATGGTACCATACAAAGGGGACAGTCTCGAAGCCCTCATTCGGGTGAGTATGTTTACATTCTCTCATTCCACATGATGGAAAATGCAGGGGGAAGTTAAGGAGGAGCACTACAGATTCCCCAGGATAAAGGAAGGCAAAATCTGCAGGAATTCTGCCCCGTGGGAGCATTATTGCCAACTTCAGCACAACCCTTCGATACCAACAGCACATGTTAACTCACGTTTTCTTTTAACCACAATTAACATTAAAGAAACCCAAGAAAAACAACATCCCATGTGTTTGGTGTACAAGGGGCCTCACTGAAGCCCCCATTATGTTTCTCTTTCCCCTTGCAATGAGCATTAATCAAACTGGAGCCAGCGACATGCATTGCAAGCGTTTCCTCCCACCGCAGCCCCAAGGTTTCCTCAGCGTGCAGTGGCCGTTAAAAGTCCCTGCAGCGGTACCAAATCACCTTCTGTGCTGCAGACAACCCGCTGGAGGGAGATGAAGGTGCTCTTATAAAAGTGGGACCCAAACTGCGACACCCTGAAAGGCTGTGGCAGCATCAACCCCAGGCCTTACCTTCACTGAAGACAAAATCCGCGGTGATGTCGAAGGGCTGGATGCGCACTTCCGACAGCAGGAGCTGCACAGACTTCTGGTGGTCGCCAGAGCTGAGGGAGATGGTCTGCTGCGCCTGGCACTCGTAGGACTTCCCAGCTGGGGTGACCAGGGCAGAGAGCCGGTGCGAGCTGACTGTGTGCTTTCCGGCTGGCCAAGGGGCAGAAACAGCAGAGGTCAGGTCCTGTCTCTGGGGGACCGATGTGACTTCATTGACAAAGCTAACGAATGGTTCGTGAGGGTACACAGGCAGCCGCACGCTCCACTGCTCTTAAAGCAGCGTTTTCTCCTGGGGTGGGACCACGCTTTTGGTACGACACCCCGCACAACTGGGGCAGTTCCCATGGTGGAGTTGCCTGCAAGCAGGAACGGATGGCTACATAGTCCTGCCAGCACAAAGGAAAGAGCTGGCTCTGCCGCTGCCAGCTACGCTCATGTCACAGGACTTGAAGATCAGGGGGGTTTTTTTTTATGTATAACATAGGTTTCAGCCTCGGATCGTGCCTGTACTCCCTGTGTTCGGGAAACAGCAATTCCTGCGACTGCACTTGGTGTCTGAATTCAGGTGGTCAAATGCAATTTGGGGACCTCACTACAACGCGAAACAGGCCATAACATCTTTTCTGAAAATCAAAGCACAACCATTTTGCCCAAATATAGATAATGAGAAGATATTTTGCCATGGCTTCAAAGCTTGTTTTATAAATGAAGGCTGAATACGGTTTAGCATGGTGGAATGAGGGCTGCCTTCCACCTCCTGCTCTCCTGCAGCCCTTTGTTCCCCTCCAGCAGCACAGAAAGACAATCAGCATTTCCCGTTTGCAGAGGGTGATGAGGCACAGTCACCACCATGTTTTGGGAATACCACCAGGAGAAACACTGGTGCAAAAAATAGCTCCATGTCCAGGGTGTCTTAAGGCACAAACTGTTAGCGCACCATTCACTGGAGTTTGAAAATCTCGAGGAAGGACAACTTGCATATTATTGTATTTTGATTTTCAGTACAAGACAACTCATTTCTGAGCAGAAACAAAATAAAACCAAAATGAAAATCAAAAGAAAGAACACGCAGTGAGAAAAGAGGAGGCTGTTGAGTGCAGAGGCGCGTAGGGGTATGGAAATTTATGTCGATCTCATCATTACCTTGGGAAACCGTTGCTTTCCCACCTAATTCAACCATCGTCAGAACCAAACAGACAACGAACCTTAAAAACCATTTCCCGCAGGAAAGGAGACAAATTTTTCCAAACCAGGCGGACACCTGCCCCACTGCCCAACCCCTCGGACCCCGGCAGCGCCGGGAGCGCTCAGAGCCCGGGCTCTCCCTCCCGCGGCAACCGCAGCGATTAAAACCCAGAAACCACGTTAAAACGTGTGTGGAGGGGGGTTTGAAACGGACACTTGGTCCCGGCTTTGGGGGTTCTTTTTTCCCCATTAACCTGCATTTAGGAGAAGAGCCCGCGGGGCGCTGTGTTCCATTCCGCCCCTCCCAGCTGGGCTCTCGCCAGACCCCAGGGATGTGCTTTACACCCCGGCCCCCCGGGGCGCTTACGCTCGAAGGCGTCCTTGAAGTAGGTGCGTTCGCTGGTGTCGAAGCTGAACTCGACCCGGCTGAGCCTCCAGAAAGCCTCCTGCCCCCGGGA